GCAGGTTCGAACCCCCGACCTACGTTAGAATTCTTATCTGGTGGTTTCCATTGAGGGTGGCTCTGAGTTCGACTCAGCGTCCTTTCTAAGTAAGTACCAGGATCTTTCTTACCAATCATCTGCCTTCCTTTGTCAATTTGTAAGCCCCTAGAAGAAAAAATTAAAAGATATTCATAAATCTGGGAAAACGCAACGAATGTAACAGAAAGATACTACAATGAATCGTAGATTATTAATAAAACTGTTTCAAATAAAATAATTTGTGTTCGTCTAGTAACTCACAAGAAACGAGGCAACATTGAAAATATGGTTTCAAATGTTCAGTTTCCTTTCAATAATTGTTTTGAGAATGCCTACTTCCATTACTTAGCGAAATTAAATATTAATTGTGATAGCATTTTCTACATATCCTACAATAACTAAGATTCGTCAGCAACAAAATCCTTGATCATGTGAATTTATAGAATTTGTGAATATTCCTTGATGTACACGTAATCTTCCGCGGCTCGAATCCATAAATTCTCGGCTGTCCGGGAGACGTTTCAGTGGAAACGTTGGCCTCCCAGCCAACGACGCGGCGTCTCCCGGATAACCGAGAATTTAAACATTCCTTGATGGTTTCGTGGTGGTGGCTGCCCTTAGGCCTCCCGAACGGCGCCGACGCCCCCGGCGGCAGCGGCAGCGGCGCCGAGGACGGCAGCCCGGGCCCGCACCACGTGTCCATCGCTGCGGCTGTCATCAAGTCGCTGGCCGCCACCGAGGGCGAGGTGTTCGGGCTGGCGAGCGAGAACGGCGAGCACGTGCGGCCCATCCTCAAGAAGAAGAGCAGCTCGGAGGAGAACGCCGGCGACTCCGCGTGCGCCGAGGCGCCGCGCCCCATCCTCAAGAAGAAGGCGAGCGTGGAGACCGAGGACGACGACCGGCCCAAGCCCATCCTCAAGTCGGCGCGCAAGCACTCGCACGAGGACAACGGCGGCTTCGGCCTGCCGCACGGTCACGGGCTGGGGTTGGGGCTGGGCCGCGACTCGCCCACGCGCTGCCTGCGCCTGGCCAGGGGCTCCGACTCCACCTCGGGCTCCGACTGCGAGGTGAGCGACTTTTGATCCCTTCCTGCTTCAGGTCCTGGATATGCCTTCCTCCTGCTTCTGATCCTGGATATCTTCCTCCTGCTTCTGGTCTTGGATATCTTCTTCCTGCTTCTGATCTTGGATA